AACAGTAAAGTGAAAGAAGACCCTTGATGACTTGAAAAGAAAGAGAATTATCAGAATGAACTATAGACAATTAAACTAATTTTACATGCTTTAGGAAAAGATATAAATACTGGAACAAAGACAATGTTCATGTATAGTAAAATATGCCAATAACTATTTTGTTTGGCTTTGTTATTTTGCTCTTGGCCATCTTTGTGACTTTTTAAGGGGGAATTTCTTCTCACATGAGCTCAAAAGATACAAGGTGTTTAGTCATATCATGGTTCTCTTACAGTCATAATGTTTGACGTGAACTAATGCTAGAGCTATAAGCGGAAATAGCACATAGGCTGTTTCTACTTGTGGTTTTATGACTGAAACCTCTCCGTGTTTAACTTACTCGACTGAAAGACAGAAAAAAAATGTGTTTGCTGTGATGGCGTTTAGGTTGTTCCTTTCATTTGCTCTTCTTACTTTCAACACAGGTATAAAATCAAATCATTTTACTATGATAAATTAATCTGTGATTAAATGTTTTTCTTCCCGTGGCAATAAGTGAAAGGCAGTTTTAAAATTTGCTTTAAAGTTAAATGTTTTATTCTTAACATTGTCTTTTTGACATATTGATCAAGTCTTTTGTTCAAGGAATTGTTTTGTTTTCACTTCAGAAATGTAATGTTGCCAGGATTTTACAAGATATCATTATGATTGATTTGTTACAATAACATCCTGTATTCAGTATTTTGTCAAAAAAGGATGACTTAAGGTAAAATAACCACATTACACTGCATTGTGGGAATACCCATCAGTCCTTGTATATATGTGTATTTTGATGTCATTATTATGGTGCTTAGTGTTACAGAGAATTTGAACCTTATTTGGTCTTAATTAAATTTCATCCAGGCAGTAATAGGGTTTAACTGACTTTGTTATTTCGTAATTCATGATTAATCGCATCCAAAATAAAAGGTTTTATGTACATAATATATGTGTGTACTACTGTGTATATTTATTATGTGTATATATAAAGACACACACATACAGTATATATTTAGAAAATATTTACATGTATTTACGCGTATATATTCATATAATTTATATTATATACTGTATCAATATATTTAATATAATAACATAACATATTTTTCTTAAATATATACATGCATGTGTGTGTATTTATATATACATAATAAATGCACAGTACACACACATTATGTACACAAAAACTTTTATTTTGGATGAGATTAATCGTTGCCCAGTACTACATTTTATTTATGAATTATTTAATTACTGACACTAATTATTGAAGTCTGATAATTTTTTGCATTCCACATTATACGTGGAAATGCTGTATGTTAAAATACTTAATATAATATTTCATAAATAAAGTACCACCGTACTAAATAATAATGGAGTGAACAATAGTACTGTGATGTGCTGAATGGTTGTTCAAATTTGTTCATTTGTCCTTGAATTTCACTCTTTACTGAGAGAAACAGCGACATTTGATTTTTATTCAGCTTAATAGCACAGCTGTTGACCAATCCCCTATTACTAAATTAACATTCAACTAAAACCTTTAGCTTGTGGCAGCATATCATTAATGTTCATGACAACAGCAGTAAGCAAACTGCTACTAAACTTTGCCCTCTAAACAAAAAAACGTATTTTCTCTCTCCTCAGGGTTCAGTGCTGAGATCTCTGTATTTGTGCAGACAGGAGCTTCTGTTAAACTGGATATACAGACACAACAACTACCAGAGTTTGATCTTTTTTACTGGATGAATGATAAATCTGAAGAAATAGTTAGATATATAAATGGAACTAAAAAAGTAAGACGTCATACTTTCTTTGAGAACAGATTGGATTTCAATGCTAAAACCTTCTCTCTGACACTGAAGAACATGCAGAAGACAGACAGTGGACTCTACAGAGCAAGAGCAAGTGCAGATTCAGACATAAATATTGTTACATACAGAGTATCTGTTATAGGTGAGTGTTATGTGTACTACTTAAGCTACGATGTAATAAGATAATGTTAATTATACTTTTAGTCAGTTTTTATTGGGAAATAGTATTTTTTATCTGAAAACTTTTATTTGAAAACAATGTAAATTATGTAAAGTACAACAAAAAGAAATTTTGCATATGTTTTGTACTGTGATCCACAACCTGTTACTCATGATTTAGTGAGTTACTTATGTTCATTTCAGGAAGCCTATACAAAATAGCATGAATAAATTATGTTTGGTCTTTGTTTACTCAAGTTTTGAATTGGCAAGTTCTGGCATCACTGAATCTGTATGTGGCTTTAAACATTTTAATGTGTTTCAGATGCAGTGAAAACTCCAGTACTGATTGTAAATTCAAACCGGTCCAGCCCTGACTCCTGTAGCTTTACATGTAATGGAAGTAATAGTATCATCAGCTCTATTTATAATAGTAGCAGCTGTTCTCGAGAGGAAGTGACATCATCTGATAATCACATTCTAAGACTGAGCTGCAGTGGTGACTCCATCATATCCTGTTAATGTTTATCTGAAAACTTTTATTTGAAAACTATGTAAAGTACAACAAAAAGAAATGTTGCATATGTTTTGTACTGTGATCCACAACCTGTTACTCATGATTTAGTGAGTTATTTATGTTCATTTCAGGAAGTCTATACAAGATTGTATGAATAAATTATGTTTGGTCTTTGTTTACTCAAGTTTTGAATTGGCAAGTTCTGGCATCACTGAATCTGTATGTGGCTTTAAACATTTTAATGTGTTTCAGATGCAGTGAAAACTCCAGTACTGATTGTAAATTCAAACCGGTCCAGCCCTGACTCCTGTAGCTTTACATGTAATGGAAGTAATAGTATCATCAGCTCTATTTATAATAGTAGCAGCTGTTCTCGAGAGGAAGTGACATCATCTGATAATCACATTCTAAGACTGAGCTGCAGTGGTGACTCCATCATATCTACAGCAATCCAGTGAGCTGGAAGACTGACACAAAGACGGTTAATGAACTCTGCACTGTTAATCAAGGTACTTCTCCCTTCAGATGAGGAAACAGAAAACTAGTGACAAAACACTGAACTGAAATGCCTGTTGGATTAAAATTCAGTATGGGAAAATAGATTTTCTGATGTTCTTCTTTCATGTCCAGAAAGACAAAAAGCTAAAGAAGCATCTTTGCATCTCCTTTGGCTCATTCCCATTTGCCTATTCACAAGTGGTTTGTTGGTTTTGGTCAGCAAGAAAAAAAAATGTATATCATCATAATGAATTTCATTAACATTTCATATTAACTGCAACTAGTGAACATATCAAGAGTATCTCTATGAAAAGAAAACTTTAAATTTTTATGTCAAATGTGTCAAATGTTATAATATGGTCAGATAATTTTGGATATTTGTGCTATGATCAGCTGAACTTTTGCATAGCCCTTTAAAGCATTTCAGAAGTAAGAAAAAAAAAAATCCAACAACTCTCATACACATAGTAATGTGACCCTACCCTTTTCTGCAGCGATTTCTAGAAGAGTATACAGCATATCACTTCCCATGTGCTAATATTACAGAAGGATCAACTCAAGTTGATCAACTCAACTCAAATAATTTAAACGTAAAAATTTGGCAGACCTCCAAATGGGAGTTACATACTCCAAAATGGAGTAGAACTCAAAAAGCGGAAGTACTGACTCATTCAGGAACAAACTTAGCTTAAGTTGCTGAAATGAAACATTGAGAAAAGCTTCTATATCTACTCTGCAGCTATATCGACTTGGAAGCAAACATCCAAGCTGATTGCTAGTTCTAATGTGACATTATTTTCAAACTAGAACAGAAGCTTAAACGCATCATTTGAACTGGATTTGGATCCTGGATTCATATCCTGAATTCATGGCATACAAAAGTAGTTCAACACAAGAGGGTCTTTTGCAGTGTGGCAAATGTATTTTAAGGTCATAAAGCTACATGCATAATAAATGTAAAAGAAATAGCACATTGCCGTTCACAATGGTTCGAGACAGAGTTCTCGAACAGAGAGAAATTTACCATTTATGCTTTTAAACCCTCTGGTTCACTAGGCTTCCATTAGCAATTCATTTACTGTAATTATGCTTCCAGCTTATTTCTCAGTACTGCCACAGGCAATGATTATAGACATACAGTATGGGTGTAATACACAGTATATGTAGAAGTATCTTTTTAAAACAAGACACCGGAGAGTGTGACATCAACATCATATTACAACCTTTGCAGAGTCCATGCGCAAAGTCTAGTGTGACTGCAGCGTTAAGCAACTAAACGGTATAGGGCGGGGCCTATGGTGCAATGTATAACTATTATTTGATATCATGCTCCGGAGGCAGTGATATGCCAATTTATTTGCCCATGTGACATCACAGATCCCACAATATCCAAGCCTTATTTGGAGCGTGGTTAAATAAATGTTTGGGTTTTTTTTTAAATATGAATATATATAAAAATGAGGAGGACTTTTGGAAGAGGAAGCCATGAAACGTTTAAGACATTTTAATAGAACAACAGTCTCTTATATGTGAAAAGATCAAAGAATGTGAAAAAAAGTGCTTTTTCATGCTGTCATGACCCCTTATGTTGTACTGTTTCTCACTTTGCTTTGGATTTTTGTCTTCAATAATTTATTGCTCTCTTTGTTCGGTTTATTTTTG